CACCCCTTTTTTAACGTTTTATTTAAACCACTCCCTCCATTAACATATATATACAGCTCTTTGTAAGATAAATTTCTCTCGGATGGATCAACCAGAGGTTATATCCTTTCTTTAGTAAGCTGCTTGCCACACCGATATTGTTGGCCTTAATGCTGCTTGTTCAATTGGTCTTATTCATCACTTTTATATGTAGTAATGAAAGTTAATGGTCCGTTTTGTTGGGTCATCTTCGTAGCATAACTGATGCGTTTATGAGCTTCCACCGTAATAAGGTAAGGCTTCGTTGAAATTTCTTGTGTACCTATAACTCTCAGTGAAACCTTTCAAACCCTTCACTACGCAACAATATTTGGTGCAACTACAACACAATATAACCTAAGCCAAATAATCAAGCCAACCCTTTAAAGTTCCTGCTTACTCCTGGCCATTGACTAACCACAACAAAAACAAATCACGACACCAACAGTTATTTTTAACTGGAAGTTTGGGAAGTTCCATTGATATGGTATACATTTTTGTGATGATTCGCTCCAAAACAGTTTTAAATTGACATGTGATGAAAGCAATAATTTTAATCCAGATGGTCATTTCTCTTTTTGCTTCTGCTTTTAAATTATGAATGATGGAGCTAAAACTTTTAGTATTCAATAAAGGCGGATGATGCTCAAACAGTGGCCAAATTATTTTTTATAGCCTCTAAGCGTTAAATTCTTTTTTTAAAATGGCAACAATTCTGTTTTAATTTGCCCCTAATTTTTCCTTTTCCATTACGTTTTTCGTAGTTTGACTCTCCATCATCCTCGAGATTAAATTTCAGTTTTGCCTCCTTCTTAACCATTGCTTCCTTCTTCAACTGGAGTTTCTTTCAAACCAACGACCAGTACACTTAACAACAGATGGTTAACGAATACGCATTATCCATTTTTTTCAAATAGATATTTTCTTGTATCATCAATCGTTCCTTATTCAGTAATAAAATGATTGTTTAATCATTGATTGCTTTTTGTAACTCATTCCAAAAGTATAAATCGCACTGTTATGTCTTACACGAAAGAAGTAAAGTAACCATTCGCTTAATCTTTGGCATACAACACGATAGGGAGAATAAAGTGAAGAGAAACCGTGAAAGGATTAAGAGAAAAAGGGATTTTGGCGATATGTGACAAATGACTACTTTTAGTTAATTTATTTGGGACAAAAAGACCTTTTGTTGGGCTTCACCAAAACAAAGGAAGTTCTATATTGCCCATGGTGCCAACTTCCTGTACAACGATCATAACTCCATTTTCCAACTCAAGCAAAAAGACTTGAACCAAATGAAATTTCAAGAATCAAAGACAGACTCCAAAGGAAATGAAACATGTTAAGAGGAGATGCTCCTACATTAATTAATGCCATATCTTATTTCTCTGGGATTTGCTCCTCCCCTTATGACAATTATTTCTTATTTAAACAGTAATTCATATCTATCACAACATCGGGAAATCCCAGAATCGATACTGGTTGGCTGGTATCAAAGTATGTATTCAAGGTACAGTAGAAGACTTTTGAAATAAGCATAGAAATCAAATGAATTTAAGCCCAGAAATATCCCAAACCTAATCATTCGCTAGTCGTAATATAGTTTTTTCATTTCTTGGTTTTAGTTTTCAGCCAATGTAATGGTTAAATCCAATCTTTAATTTAAACTTAACTTTTCTAAGGAAACTTGGAGAAGAAGTAAGAGCGAGACAAATTATCGTGATCATATAGATATGTTAATAATATACTAAAGGGGAAGAAGAGATCTTCCTTAATCTGTTCAAGGTATTTCTGCAAAGAAAAAAACTTGTCCCGAGCCTAAAAATTAGAAATTTTTTAGAAATTCACTCAAGTACAAAACACTTGGATGAGCATTTGTATGGTGATTGTGATTTTTGACAATAATTAATACATGAGATCGGTAACACACTGATCAAAGTTGGCAATAACCTTGTTATATTTTAAGCAAGACGGCCTAAAAAACAAGGAAATGAGTGTTCGCTGATGTGCAACATGATCAG